CGCGGTGTCGAGTGTCCAAAAGCCTTGAGGCCACGCAAACAAAACAAAAACAAATTGCCCATAGGGAAATTTAATTACCGTCTTCTCTCTCTCTCCGAGAGTGTATCCTTCTCTATTCCAAACAACAGACGCAAAGTTCGTTACATATGCGATCATTTTCCCGCTAGTGTAGCAGAGAATTACCATTTTAACTAGCGGTAATAATAGAAGACTTTATTAATTTCCGAGCCGGGGCAAAATAGCGAAGTGTGCGATCGTAGTTTCCGGGAACGGAAACGCGGATGTTATTTGGAAAAGTTATTTTTGAAACTTTCCCCGTTTCGAAACTCGACATTTCAATGAAGTGGAGAGTATATGCATTTCTGAAATATATTTTCCGCAGACGATGATCGAAATGCAAATACGCGATAAACTCATCGGACGGCGCGCGCTCGCCCGCGCGCGCCGCGTACAATTAAACGACCGATTTTACAATCTCGCACCGGACAGCCCGTCAGTTCCGACAGAAGCTTTCGATGCTGATGTTTCGAACGCATCTTTTATTTATTTATGCTAACCAGTTGCGCCGCGAGCGCACCGCGAAGGCTTTGCCTTCAAGTTCACGGTTTTAAAATTTCATATCTGGTACACATCGTGCGCCGTGCGGATGTACGCGCTCTTTTTCTCTCTCTTTCTCTCTCTCTCTCTCTCTCTTTCTCTCTCCATATTGATATGTATAGGGGAGTGATGCACTTTACTTTCTTTGGTCGAAACGCTTTTCATTTCCTGCCGCGGATACGGCCGATATAAAAAAGATCTCCGCGAACGCGATTCCTCGAGAGGCAACGTAGCAGCTACTTTTATTTCACCGGCTCATTTCTGCGCCCTGCGTATCGTATTCTTCCGCATCGCCGATTTACGTTTGATTCGGCTTTTGCTCGATCGCACGAACGCTGCGTCGACGGAACCGTAACACAATGCTTATAAACGTTATATTTGCGACTTGATGCGAGCGTCAGACATCATCGAGATATTTTTCTTCCGTCGTCGTACGACTGACTTGCGCGTGTGAGTTTATTACGCAAAAAGCGTAGGTACGTTATAAATAAATAAGCAAACCTCGCCGATGCGCGGTTTACACGTACCGTCCGTGTATTTATTTTATTGTATCTTTTTTGACGGTTTTATTCCACTTCTAATTTTAACTCTTCGCAGTCGCGTGTAGACCGGAGATATTTCCGGAGCCGAGGTTTCAGAATCTGCGGCAGAACGCGGCTCACCTTGTTCGTTGTATTAATCGTGAAATAACATTTGTTTGATCACCAACTTTTTATATTTATATTTAACTTTGTAATTTCATAATTTTAAATATTTGTACTATTATATTTAATAATGTTTCATTGTTTATAATAGTAATATTTTTAATCTGTACTAATACCTTTTGTTAAAGTCAATGACTTTTAACGAAAGTTCAATGACCTTTGACGAAAAGGTCAATGACCTTTGACGAGAGGTCAATGACCTTTGACGAAAAGATCAATGACCTTTGACGAAAGTTCAATGACCTTTGACGAAAAGGTCAATGACCTTTAGATCGGTGCATCGTCTTGATACGTACGACATGAATCGAGAAACACATCCTAGAAACGTCTAATCAGCGTCGAGATAAAAGTGGCAACAATTAATATATCAAGAAAATCGATTGTGATTATTTACACATACTTTTTCTGGTAGGATATAGTGAGAATAAAACAAGTATATTTGTGAGATTTTAATTTGAATTATAATTAATAATATAACTTCAATATTATCAAATCGCGTGCACACATTCACGCATTGTATATCAACTAACAAACATGAACACAAGCAAAACCATCAGATCCTTCCGTGTGTATCTGCGCAAGATGTATTGCGATCGCGAGAAGTTAAGCTCTGCGTTTTTTTTATTCGTTTTGTTCGCTCTTGCGACGTGTCAACACGCCTTATATTCTTTCTCTCTCTCTCTCGCGATGTGTCATACTCATATAAGCCATTATTCCCGATCTGAAATCTCATGAGACGTTCCCGCATAGACACTCGTTTGACACGGAAAGCGTTCTCACGTTCGCGGTTACTTAATCTCTCGCACAGATCGTAACCTTTTAACTGCTCCCGCACTCGTTTCGTCGCCGCCCATTTAATTTCGACTTTTACACCATTTGCTCTGCCTTAACGCGAGATTTTTATTCCGCCACGGTGTAACGCTCGTTTCTTCTCTTTCTCTCTCTCTTGTCCGCCTACCGGAACGTAATAAATCCCAGGCCATCCTGCGCTCTGCTCTCTTACTCAGCGCGCTTCGTCCTCGTTCCCTCCTCACACAGTCGCTCTCTCGTTTCTTTTCCCGGACTCTCATCCAGTCTTGTTTGACTCCTATTTCTCTCTCTCTCTCTCTCTCGCCGCGTGCATCTCCTCCCACCCGTTAAAGTCCGTGATAACCGAGAAGGAACGGGCGAAACGTAATTAGAAAGAGCGCTATTTTTAAACCGCTTCTTTCGCCCCTCGTCCTCCTCGGAACGAGCGCGGATGGGCGGCGCTCTTAAGCTTTACGTCCTCGTGAGGATATCCAGATTGGGTATCAAATCCGCGGGAGGAAGAGAGACAGAAAAAAATCATTGAAAAAATGAAGCGACGAGAGAGAGAGAGAGAGAGAGAGAGAGAGAGAGAGAGAGAGACGGGGAACGGCCATTTGGAAATTGCTAGAAAGCTATCAGCTATACTTCGCTATATAGATAACGACAGAGGAAACTTTGGACGCAGAGCTTGTAACTCTCCCGAACTCTCTACCACACGTAACGCTATACGTGTATCAGCGATTCTCAAAGTGCGCTTTGTGCGCCGTCCCCCCCCGAATCATAATTTGAATTCTCCAGTCCAGGTTTCTTTGTGTCCCGGGCCACCGGAAGAAGAAACACTTCCCTCGCGCGCGAAGAAGCGTATGACGTTTCTCATCTCACGTAATCGAAAAAAAAACAAAACAACGGAGGCTGCATCTTCGAAACGTTCTTATATCGCATAAAAAATACGTTTCATTCAGAATACGTTTGATATCTTTCCCTCACACACACAACCGATATGGGCTTTTAAACATCAGCGAGGAAGAAAAATGAAGAGAAGAGCGTCGTTCGCGCTCGTTAGAAAAAAACGCCATCGTTTTCTCGAACTACGTTGTCGTCGTCGTCGTCGTTTCCGCTCAATGAATTGTGCGCGAGTTACGCGCATTCTTATTATACGCGTTGGTTGTTGTTTCTTTTTTTTTTTTTTTTGTTTCCTCGGTTTTAGAGCGCGTTATATATCCCGAGACGCGCGCGTCATAAAACTTGCGCGCTTTATCGCGCGCCGAATTATGCGCCGTCGTGAATGCGGCAGAAAGCTTCGGGATGAATTTATGCGCCTCGCGGCGCGGCGCGGAATCGGGGAGAGAGATATTAAAGTTTGAGAACCCGCGTGTGTGCGAGTTATATATGTATACGCGTCGGCCCCGCGTCGACTGCGTCTATTACGCATCTTCGCCTGTTATGCTGCCACGATGGATCCATTGAACTGTATATATCTCGTCGTCGTGGATGAGGGAAACGCGTAACGACGACATTCGAGTCTCTGAACTCCCCGGTAGTTAAAGACAGAGACACAGAGAAGGAGGGGGAGAAACGCGCGGCGGGGCAGCAGCAGCAGCTACGTTATCTGATTGGCGCTCCATGTATCAAATCTGGATTCTGTAATTCATATTCACAGTCGCGTCAAGTGTCACCGGCGTCAGTTCATCCTCGCTGAGGATGTCACTTTTCGCGTCGAATCCGTTTTCATCGGCGGGCCCGTCGGGTTTTCGCCGACAAAATCGAGCGACATTAAACGCGCCGCGTACGCGCTGCTGCAAGTAGCAATTTAAACAGCGAGATATGACAGGCGCGTCTCCCTTTGCCTCTCTCTCTCTCTCTCTCTCCCTCTCTCTCTCTTTCTCGATGAAAACTAACCCTTTCAATTGTAATCCTATCCCATACGCCGGATTATTTCACGTAATTACGAATTATTGCGGCGCGCGTAGCTGAGCGCGTGTTTCACGCTGTGTTTACTCGCGCGTCCCGTTTAATCATCTCGCGCGTCGCACCGATGAGAATTTCAGCAGTTTGTATAATGATACGCGTGTAAAAGTTTCACACTATTACTGCTATTCTCTCTCTATCTATCTCTCTTTCTCTCCCTCTCTTTCCCTCTTTTGTCATTAAAAAATCATCAGATAATTTATTGCGTAAATTAATTACGATAATAATAACACGCGCGCGCGCGCGCATTCTTCTCCCGCGCGCTTGTTAAACGATTATGTAAAACGTAATACTAATAATAATATGTACAACGCAATCGGATTTTCATCGCGTTTCAGCGCCCGGGAGAGATTTTCCGGGAGAGCGTGAGAGACCGATTCTCGCGCGCGAGTGGCCTTTTCCCAGTCTCTTGCGGCTCTTTCGAAGCGCGTGCTTAAAATACAGGGCGGTAGTTAGCATCCTTGCGGGCGAATAGAAAAAAAAAAAAAAAAAAAAAAAAAAAAAAAAAAAAAAAAAAAGAAAAAAAAAAAAAAAGGGGGGAAACTCGTCGCGGCGAGAGAAAGAGGCGAAGAAGGCCGTGTTTATCCTTTAAAGCGGATGTAACGGAGGATAATGCGCT